TGGTGGGAGGCAGGGGAAGAGAAGTTGGACTCCATCGCGGCACTTGAGTGATCCCCTCATCTTCCAGCTCCTTCAGGTAGTACTCTATGATTTCTTTTCCCTGCCATTAGGAGTATCGAAGTTAGAATTAGGATGGTACAAAAAGCTGAATAAACGGTGAAATTATGAAATTGTCTTCTCTGAGGACTTTTTTGCCTTTATTATGTACTGTGTACATTATTCACATGAGGATGGGTGGATTAAATTCATGAAGCAATTCCAACTTTAATGTAGGCTAATGGAAATAGAAGAAGAAATATAAAGTCAAAGTTTTTTATGCATATACTGGAAACATGGACCTATCGTTCACAGAGGTCACCCAAGCACATTCATATATCACTGAAGAATTCTTGCATCAACATGCCAAGAAGTTGCCAAACTTTATTCTGAAAAAAATCAACACACAAACACCTTTTTGATGCTGCTGGCATATTGCTTCATTGCAATCTTTTCCACTGTGCTCTCAAAGCCAAAGAAAGACTTGATGTCCAGACTAGCTGACTGCTCAAAACACGTCCAGTCTTCATTCTCAGGGTGGACCTGGAAAATGTGAGAACATACTGTATCATACTGTACACGTGAGCAAAAAAGGGGGCTTTGCTACCATTGTAACTATGGATCACTAGATTCACTAGAACATGATGCACAAAGGGAAATATGTGCACTCCATTGAAGTTGAAGTGTGCTTGTGTCAGCCTATCTATGTAAAATTAGCCAGCCCTTTACAAGTGAAAAGTTCAAAGGTTAAAATAAAGGTCAAACAAGTGTGAATATACTCAGCAACATTGGGAATAGCTTTCAGCTGATGGGAGAGATAAGAGGTACTGAAGCATAATTTTAACTAGTCGATCACTGTCCTATGTAAAGAATGAAATTCTTTTATTATATTGATATCCAACAGTAGATTTTAGCATGTTTCTGATAGCTTTAAGTCTACAGTATTTAACATCATGAAACGTTTGTGTCACTGAATCCACGATAGCAAAAAGAAAAGGGTCCAGTGAAAAACACTTTGCTGCATCTCCCTTGGCAACGAAAATATTTCCGCTTTAGCCAGATGCATTAGTGTTGTCTAATTAGGCTGTCTAGCTGAGTTACGGTTAATACGGTGTGTTAACATGCACAATAAGAACCAGAGTGCAACCTTGGAGCACAAATTAGAACCCTGAATAACTGGGTGCTAATATAATGTGCTTGAGCGCTTTAACTTTCTTTCACTTTTGAGTGTCCTACATAAGCAAACGGTGGATGGCGGCATGAATACTGGTTTCGGATCACGATTGCAGAGCTTCCGGCAAGGATCAAGGGGAAATTATGAATTTCTAAAAGGCATCCGTCAGGTTACAACGGCAGGACATACAGTACACTAATATGTGCAGGAGCACGTGTATTTACCGAATAGCAGCAGATCTCATGGATGATGACCCTGTTGGAGAAAGTCTCATTATGTGATTCGATGTGAAGTGTCCGCTCCTTTCGGTTAAGTGTGTTTTTCTGGATGAAGTAGACATAGTCCACACCAGCAATCTGCAAACCAGACACAAACGCTCATTACAGTCATAGCTTCGAAAAAGTTGCCAATATATAGAATGACAAACTCAAAGGTACATCCATCCATTGTCTGAGCATTGTATCCTCACAAGGGTTGTGGGTGTGCTGGAGCCTATTCCAGCTTTCTTAGGGCAGTAGGCGGGGTAGAGAGTTACATAAAAAGATTGGAAGACCTTATAACCACAGTCCACTGAACTTAGGGTGCCAATTAGATGTAGCGTGATCGTAGATTACCCGTTTGAGAAGGCGCGGAGCGTCCACATCCAGGGCACAGCGCCGCTCAATCCTATGTGTGGATCTATCCTCACTTGTCTCTTCATCGACCACATCGCTTGCCACAAACATGGGGATAAGGTGACATGTGGGGAACCGGCGCTCATAGGCCTGGAAGATGAAAGAGGTGTCATGATCATCAAATGCTGAGCAATTCAAGAGAGCGTATCACCGACGTTGGGCCGAAACCTCGTAACTACCTCCAAAATAGTCACTTTTCACTTTACATTGCATCTGGCCAAGTCTCAGGACATACAAAGGCCGACCATCTAGAAGAGAGAACACAGAATAATACACATTTAAATGACTTGCAGAAATACTACAGCCTATGGAGGTTGTATATTAAATTGCTGAGGATTATTATAGCCACCTGCTCTTCTCACAAGGAAAATACTTTTGTCCCATTTATCCTTCACAACTATTTAAACACGTTTGCACATTCCTCTGGTAACAGAAGTACGACTACAAAAATAAACTTTAAAAAGGATATGACAGCATCTACAAAGTGAAGAGCATGTTAGTGTTGGCGTCACCAAGCAGTGCTGAAAAATGTATGCACGTTGAAGTCACTTGTGTTCTGAATGGCCTTGGGTAAAAAAAAAAAAAAAGTCTTTGAGTTCATTGTCATGTAACTTGAGTGTGAAGGAAACCCGAGATCAAAGATCACCAACTCGTCTAGCTTTGTAAGAATAGCCAAAATAAATCATGTATGCGGAAACGTAAACCCATCTGAACAGTCAGCGTGCGCATGCTGATACAGTTGATGTTTCAACCTACCTCGATCATGGTGGTGCCAGCCCCCTGTGTAATAATCCTGAAGAACTTGTGGTGAACTCCATGTCTCAAGAAGATAGTCTACTTGGTGCTGCTTCCTCCAGGTCAGCGACTGGCACAAAATTTCACGAGCCTTATCCATGTTGAAATCCCTGGCCCGCAAAAATCGCAGGATGTGTTCATCCTTAGGAATCTGAAATAAAGACAGTAGGAGGCAAAAAAAAAAAAAATCATCTAAAATAATGGATCACAATGTACAATTACACCACTCTACGTGAGTTTCTGACTATTAGGGCCCGACCGATAAGGATTTTTTGAGACTGATGCCGAATTTTGGCAGAAAAAAAAAATAACAGATTACAAATCCATCCATTTTTCAACCCGCCTTATCGTCACAAAGGTCACGGGGGGTGCTGGAGCCTCTCCCAGCTGTCTTCAGGCAGTAGGTGGGGTACACCCTGAAACTGGCCGATTAATTTACAAAAATATATAATGCATAAAATAATACCCCCCCACCGAATTTCAATGGTTATCAATTATACGCAGATTTCCGCTATTCGTGAGCCAGCCTGGTCCCTTTTCCTTGCAAATAGCGGGGGTCAACTGTAAATGTATTTTTGAAAAATGTGTTTAATAAAATGTCCTGTTCATTTCCCAGAATGCATTGCGTGACGTAATTGAATTAATCCTTGACCTGTGTATTTGTGTTACCAGTAGGTGAATGTGTGTCATATTTAACACATTCATGTTTTATTTATTTTGCACTGTTTTGACTTTTATTTCTTTTAACAAACTGTGAATTATGTAAAATTGTGTGTAAAATAGTGGCTTCCAGGTCAATTCTTTGCACAGCTTGCACTGCTCAACTAAGCATTGCTTGTGAAAATTAAGATTTGCTTTGTTTTGAATGATCTTATCAATCTTATGTTGATAATTTAGACCACTGCTTGAAGACAACTGGGATATGCTACAGCACGCCTCGACTCTTGTGAAGATAAGTGATTCAGATAATGGATCGATGGATATTTAAGGATACATGGTTATGGTATAGATTTATGTGTAATAATTAATGAGATGAGTATTACTTATGTTCAACTGCTGTGAATAGTTAGAGTACATAAAGGCAAAAATAATCAGCAAACATCAGCCATTTGGCTGATTTTTGAAGGGTCATAATTGTCCGAATTGATCGACCGGCCGATTAATCAGTCACGCCTCACTGCCAATATATGAAGCTGAGTTTAGCAGCAAATATTTCAAAATGTTCTTGGTTGATCAGATTCCTTTTACTACAAAGTCTGTGCGAAGCTGCACGTTACCTTGCCCTTGTGGGTCTCCTGTAGCCATTTACGAAGTCTGATGAGACAGCTCTCCTGCATTGGTGTAAGATCACCAAGGTAGCGTTTGATATAATCAGCATCCAGTTTATCTGTAAACACAAAACAAAACAAACAAATCACACCTCAAATTGACATGACATGTCTAATTACAGCTCACAGAAAGCACCAATTACATTATTTCAAATGGGCAGCCACTCATTTTGCAATTATCAGCTAAACAGACCTTCCGGTGTGCCAGCCAGAATCTCAGTTAAACTATCTGCCTGAAGGCCAGCGCTGTCCTGCTTAGCATCCTGAGAGCTGCTGTCATCCGTGGCATCAGTCATCAGTGGGATGGGAACAACGGCTGTGACAGGGACTTTGGGATCAGGAGGTGGGCTAGTAAAGAGACTGGTTGGTCTGGTGGGAGGCAGGGGAAGAGAAGTTGGACTCCATCGCGGCACTTGAGTGATCCCCTCATCTTCCAGCTCCTTCAGGTAGTACTCTATGATTTCTTTTCCCTGCCATTAGGAGTATCGAAGTTAGAATTAGGATGGTACAAAAAGCTGAATAAACGGTGAAATTATGAAATTGTCTTCTCTGAGGACTTTTTTGCCTTTATTATGTACTGTGTACATTATTCACATGAGGATGGGTGGATTAAATTCATGAAGCAATTCCAACTTTAATGTAGGCTAATGGAAATAGAAGAAGAAATATAAAGTCAAAGTTTTTTATGCATATACTGGAAACATGGACCTATCGTTCACAGAGGTCACCCAAGCACATTCATATATCACTGAAGAATTCTTGCATCAACATGCCAAGAAGTTGCCAAACTTTATTCTGAAAAAAATCAACACACAAACACCTTTTTGATGCTGCTGGCATATTGCTTCATTGCAATCTTTTCCACTGTGCTCTCAAAGCCAAAGAAAGACTTGATGTCCAGACTAGCTGACTGCTCAAAACACGTCCAGTCTTCATTCTCAGGGTGGACCTGGAAAATGTGAGAACATACTGTATCATACTGTACACGTGAGCAAAAAAGGGGGCTTTGCTACCATTGTAACTATGGATCACTTGACTTCATAGAACATGATGCACAAAGGGAAATATGTGCACTCCATTGAAGTTGAAGTGTGCTTGTGTCAGCCTATCTATGTAAAATTAGCCAGCCCTTTACAAGTGAAAAGTTCAAAGGTTAAAATAAAGGTCAAACAAGTGTGAATATACTCAGCAACATTGGGAATAGCTTTCAGCTGATGGGAGAGATAAGAGGTACTGAAGCATAATTTTAACTAGTCGATCACTGTCCTATGTAAAGAATGAAATTCTTTTATTATATTGATATCCAACAGTAGATTTTAGCATGTTTCTGATAGCTTTAAGTCTACAGTATTTAACATCATGAAACGTTTGTGTCACTGAATCCACGATAGCAAAAAGAAAAGGGGCCAGTGAAAAACACTTTGCTGCATCTCCCTTGGCAACGAAAATATTTCCGCTTTAGCCAGATGCATTAGTGTTGTCTAATTAGGCTGTCTAGCTGAGTTACGGTTAATACGGTGTGTTAACATGCACAATAAGAACCAGAGTGCAACCTTGGAGCACAAATTAGAACCCTGAATAACTGGGTGCTAATATAATGTGCTTGAGCGCTTTAACTTTCTTTCACTTTTGAGTGTCCTACATAAGCAAACGGTGGATGGCGGCATGAATACTGGTTTCGGATCACGATTGCAGAGCTTCCGGCAAGGATCAAGGGGAAATTATGAATTTCTAAAAGGCATCCGTCAGGTTACAACGGCAGGACATACAGTACACTAATATGTGCAGGAGCACGTGTATTTACCGAATAGCAGCAGATCTCATGGATGATGACCCTGTTGGAGAAAGTCTCATTATGTGATTCGATGTGAAGTGTCCGCTCCTTTCGGTTAAGTGTGTTTTTCTGGATGAAGTAGACATAGTCCACACCAGCAATCTGCAAACCAGACACAAACGCTCATTACAGTCATAGCTTCGAAAAAGTTGCCAATATATAGAATGACAAACTCAAAGGTACATCCATCCATTGTCTGAGCATTGTATCCTCACAAGGGTTGTGGGTGTGCTGGAGCCTATTCCAGCTTTCTTAGGGCAGTAGGCGGGGTAGAGAGTTACATAAAAAGATTGGAAGACCTTATAACCACAGTCCACTGAACTTAGGGTGCCAATTAGATGTAGCGTGATCGTAGATTACCCGTTTGAGAAGGCGCGGAGCGTCCACATCCAGGGCACAGCGCCGCTCAATCCTATGTGTGGATCTATCCTCACTTGTCTCTTCATCGACCACATCGCTTGCCACAAACATGGGGATAAGGTGACATGTGGGGAACCGGCGCTCATAGGCCTGGAAGATGAAAGAGGTGTCATGATCATCAAATGCTGAGCAATTCAAGAGAGCGTATCACCGACGTTGGGCCGAAACCTCGTAACTACCTCCAAAATAGTCACTTTTCACTTTACATTGGTCAATATTTCGTAAAAATAACATCCACGTGTGGATTGACCAATAGTACAGATTTTGGGGGGGACGGGGCATGAAATTTGCCAAATTGTGATTTATGAGTTTTCGGCGTTATGTAATACCATCCATCAATTTTCTGATCCGCTTATCCTCAACGAGGGTCGCAGGCATGCTGGAACTTATCCCAGCCGTCATCGGGCAGTAGGCAGGGGACACCCTGAACTGATTGCCAGCCAATCGCAGGGCACAAATAGACGGACAACCATTCGCGCTCACACTCAACACCCAGGGACAATTTAGAGTGTTCCATTGACCTGCAACGCATGTTTTTGGAATGTGGGAGGAAACCGGAGTACCCGAAGAAAACCAATGCAGGCACGGGCAGAACATGCAAACTCCACATCGGAATCGAACCCCACACCTCTGAGGCCGAGGTGTTAACCAGTCGACCACCGTGCCGCCCCATTATGTAATACAGATAATTTTATTTCTGATTACACACATGGGTCACTTAACTGAATATATACTGCTTTTTGAGATATCAAACGTAACAGCAGGCAATTTGAATGGCATTATATTACTGTATTCAACAATAATGAGTGCACCACATCAGACTTGTTAAACACGGCGAGTCCCCTTTCAGAATGAATATTTTTTTATAGTACACGCAGACATGCATGGGCAAACGCATACAGGCACAGACGCACACACGAAGGGTTGAGCAACTTCAGATTTTTGTGGTCGACGCTTAGGTGAGGATACAAAAACAGTCATGTTGATTTGAATTCATTGACAACAATACAAATGATGATTCAACTTGCTTCGCACACCTCCAACCATGGGTTTTCTCAATCACTGTGCCGGTCATCCTTGGTTGCAGTGACATTCAGTCACCATCATTGCCTCGCTGACAGTCGGAAACTGTAAAACTCTTGACAGGTCAGGTACAGAATACGCTGCTCCATGCTGGACCCACTTTGAGCAAGGACTGCCCTAAGTCCGATCTCCAGGCATCCACTTGCACAAAGCAGCAAAGAGTTTTTTGGGTTCCGAAGAATGCTTCACAGTCGTTGGTCCCGCTCACCGGGTTTTTCTTGTCTTTTGTGTTCAGAGCAGTGAGTAATTGTGGCACAAATTTATGATTGCACATACAGCGCATTTGACAAAGTTGTACTTGACTTGACTTGATATCATTCCGCTTAGCCCAGAAGGATCACACCTCCTTTTTGGTCTGAGGATGACGACACTTCTTGATAACTTCAACCTTATCCATCTGAGGTCGTATCTCATCTCTTCTCAGCTGATAGCCAAGATAGCGAGCTTCATAGCATGCCCACTCACACTCAGCCACATTCAGGGTCAGTGTCAGTCCTGCCATTCTGATCTTCTCCAAGATGCTTCTCGGGTCCTGGATGTGTTCCTCCCATGTGCCATTGAAAACAACCTAATCATCCCTGAATGTTTCACAGCCCTGAAGAACTCTGTCAATAAGGCATTGAAAGGTTGCAGGATACCCACGCAAGCCAAAGGACAGTACAGTGAACTGGAACTCTTCCGCTGGTGTTCTGAATGCACTGTAGGACCGAGTGGAGGCCTCCAACGGCACCTGCCAGAAGGCTTTGCACAAGTCCAGACTGGTGATGAAGGGTGTCGACGCAATGCGATCCAGAAGGTCATCTATCCTTGGCATTGGATAGGCATTAAATGCTGAGATGAAATCAAGATCGATGCAAATGCGCAGCGACTCGTCCTTAAAGACAATCATCACCGGACTACATCACTCTGACATTGATGGTTCAATAACTCCAAGCTTCAACATCTACTCCACCTCCTTCCTGAGTGTTGCCACTAGTTGCTGAGAGACACGGTAAGGACGCTGGCAGATGGGAGTGTGATCCTTCAAATGGAGCATCAGAACACGATATTTTCTGAACTTTGAAAGATCAGTCAGAATCCTCTTAAAAGGCTGGCAAAGTGGAGTTTGGCTGCTCGGAAAACTGCTGGGCAGTGAATGAGTTAGACGGGGTACCAATAACTTGTGTATATATCTTGTCTTTATATTATAGTCAATTGAAGATCGATTGAAAATCCATCCATCCATTTTCTAATCCGTTTATCCTCACAAGGTTCGCGGCCGTGCTGGAGCCTATCCCAGCTGTCTTCGGGCAATAGGCGGGATACACCTTGAATTGGTTGCCAGCCAATCTATGATTTGCAAAATATTATCCTGTGTTTTACACAATGTACCATCTTAATTGGAATTGGGTTCGTACGTATGTGATCATTGTTTCTTACTGCTTAATTGTTTGCAACGTTTGTTGATTGGCTGGCAATAAACTCAATGTCAAATGTGTGCCAGGCTGGGTTGGCGGAGAGACCAAGTGAGAGGTAGGCAAGGCCCAAGCAATGCAAACTAGATAAAAATTCCATAGGGCCCAAAATTCTTTTGGAGCCGTGTAGACCGATACCATTTTGGCATTGACAAATACAACGCTAATTCTGTAATTTTCAGCAGTAAAAAGTTAATATTTTGTATATATAAATACATTTGATAATTTCATTCTTTCCATGTTAAATTAATACCCTTTAAAAAGCATTTAGTAACTTATTGTCCACTGAAAATTACATCACAAGTACTATATTTTCCACACTATAAGGCGCACCGAAAAGTCTTCAATTTTCTTAAAAGCTCACGGCGCGCCTTAAAATCCGGTGCGCCTTGTGTTTGGTCATTATGGTAATATGACAACCCCAAAATGGCTCCTTCCTGGAGACATGCTTACAATGTTATAACTTGCTGTTGGTTCAGTGAACTGTGTCGCTGCTTTATTAAATAGGTTTTTGTTGCAGCTGCGAAAAAAGGAGAGCTGTGGCGTTGTTTTTTTAAAACACACACACTTTATGAATGTTTTTCATAGTCTCAACAAATACAGTTATGTCTGTCCGTCTTCGTGCCTTCTCTTCTTCCGTCGACTCGAGAGGCGTTCATGACCACCTCGGAAAAACATAAACGATTCCTTCATTGAAACTACGAAAATGGATAATAATGCATCAAAACAGAAAATCAAGCGAGGAAATCACAAAATAAATTCTATAGCCCCCCTACAGAATTTATTTTGTGATTTTCTCGTTTGTGAACACAGTACACAACAAAGGAATAAATAACAAACACTTCTGAGACAGTCCAGTCTCCTACAATTTACTGACATCTGATCGTTCTGCTGCAGCTACGCTGAAGGAAATGCCAAAATTAATTCTGTCGTTGGGCTATAGAATTTATTTTGTGATTTTCTGTTTTGATGCATTACTGTATTTTCAATTTTCGTAGTTTCATTGAAGTAATCGTTAATTTATGTTTTTTTGGAGGCGGTCATGAACGCCTCCCGAGTCAAATGAAGGGCTGTAGCGCCATCTAGTGGATGCTTTGTAGATTGTGCTTTATAGTCAAGTGCATGCAATACATGAAAAAAAATTAAAAATAGCCCATTCATTGAAGGTGCGCCTAATAATCCAGTGCGCCTTTTAGTGCGGAAAATACAGTACTCAAGTAGGCCCAGGTAACGACTAATCACGAACTAGCTAAGCATTTTATCTGATAATACTGAATTACAACAGACCACAACCAAACAAACTATCCATAGTGGCAACTTCTAAAATAGGAAACCACATTAGTTAGAGAACTTAACTAATAGTTCCTGGATTTTGGCTGGAGAATTTCTGAGCTTCCATTGTGCATAAGGGAAAAGATCAAAACAATGCGTAGTTATTTAATCTCTTCCTGCATACATAGAAAATATTTCCACCCTTGCGAAACAAGCAATAGGAACATGTGAACTGGTGGGAAAATGGGAATTGGGATTCAGGAAATCGTGCTGTTCTATATTTATTTCATTTTATGCCATAGTGATTGTATAAATGTTGAGTATCTTAAGACAACAAGAGAACGGGCAGCTATAGGCCATTATACTGCTATGGTATAGAAAGAACATTTGAATTGAGTGAGCAGAGCAAAGCTAGACCAAGTTCCACCAAACCACTTCAGGTAACGATAGCCATGTTGGCATGTAAAATGGGTATTGATGGAGAAAGGTGGTTTCAAATAGCCCCGGAAATAAATCGATAAATAAATAAAGACCCACAGGACAATACATGTTATTTCCATAACACCACTTAGAATTTCCAGTTGAGGAAGCAAAGAAAGCATTTTCCACTATTCTATATGAAAATGCAAATTTGCTTATGTGTGCTTTACACTGCTGTTCTCAACAAATAGGTAACTGATGTGTGCTGTAAATGTGAAGTGAGTGTCTGTGAGGGCTATGAACTCCTGTTTTTCCAGAAGTATTCTCGGTAGAGGTTCTGCATCAGCGGTCCTCAACCTTTTTTTCCACCAGGGGCCGGTTCACAGCAACCATTCGTCGATGCTGAGGGATCTATTCCTGATCAGGACGTATATGCTGCGCCACAAACACACGCTTCCGGAAAAGGCTTAGTGTCGGATGCTGAAATATATTTACAATTGAGCCCTGCGAGAAAATCCACGTATCATTGACGGCCATTGAAATACATTGGACGGTTATTTTTTGTTATACATTATTTCGATTTATTGTCTGATTCACCGGTCATCTATTTTGCTTTTTCAGACAAAAATCGGCATCAAAAAAAAAAAAAAAAGAAAAAAAAATCCCTATCGTTCTGGCCCAAGTTTGAAGTCACACGAAGATGGAGCTTGAATGTAGCGTGGATGTTGGGTGGGAAAGACAACAGGCGTTTGTCTGAACAAATGCAACAAAAGAGTCTTTAATCTCTGCATGCCATGCCACCCACTTCTCTTCTTCCAGAGATTTCAATGCAGTACACATTTATTGAAAGAAAAAAAGGAA